ATGGCTTACGTTTTAGCACTGAGAAAAGGCAAGAGTAGAAGAACAAAGAAAAAAATTTTGCTGAAGAATGGAGGAGGCTTGTTGGAGGGGTCAACGGTTGCAACACAGTGGCCGACCTTGCCTTGTCTACCATTTACGAGAGTGTTGAAAACTGACAGCTCAAAGAACACAGCTTCTCAATCAACCTCCGGGTTACAAACGTTGTTGGACTCATTTCCTGGTAAAGTCAAACAGAGTGAGAAAATCATATTTAAAAAGATTGACCAGGCTTGGCAAAGGAAAGATATAGATGAAATGTTTCAGCTGATAAAAGTACGTCACCTGTTCCTGTGCAGCTTGAAATTCTCATCAGTAAGAAAATGAACTTCTTTACTTAGTACGCGATTGAATGATTTTATGTTATTTTATAATTTTTTATGTAGGAAAACGAATTCAGTGATGAAACTCAGAAGAAAGCTCTGCATTATTGGGACCAGGGACATTACTACCAGGAGGGTGAAAAGCGAAACAAAGCGCTCACCCCGTTAGCTCGTTTCAGAATCCGAGAGAGGTGAGTTAACAACAGAAAATCGATGAAATAACTCCGCTTCGCCGCAATCTTCTGGTTTTGAGAGTTGTAATAGCTTTGATCAATTTTGTAATAGCTTTGATCAATTTTGCTTGCAATCAGGTAGATGTCGACAGTTTCAGTAAGCTTTTAAATGGTGACAACCATTGGCGAAAAAGTTAAATAATGTCTGAAGAGTAGACATTTTTGCGTCCTTTTACTTGCGAAATCGCCTTTGAATGGTTCTGAAATAAGTTGACTTAAGCCAGTGTGCAGGGAAAAAAAGCAAAAACTTCCTTTTATTCATTTGTAAGATATCAGTGGCTGAGTTTCTGATTGACTGGGATTGACTGAGTACAGTAATGTAGGGTTTTCAAAATTTGGTTGTGTTCTTTCGGGTCTTCAGGTTTAAGTACATTAAACTCACTAAAAAGATACACGAACCGACATCCTAATTGGGAATCTTTCGAGGCTGAACTATCTGCATTCTCTCGTGCATTTACTGAAAAGAAAACCAGATTTCAGAGAACGAGAGCTGTGTAGTTTGAATCAATTAAAATCTGAATTTTTCTTGCTCCATCAAAAGCCTCAGTCTGGGAAAATCGAAGCTTAGCTTCGCAACGCTTTCTTTATTTCTATCAAAATCAAAAAACTACATCACGACAAAGTCTTCAAATTTCTTTCAATTTCATGTATTTCCTCAGCAAATTTATCAGAAATTTAACCGTTCAACCATTATCAAACAAAAATCCTTGCTGCCTTTGCGCGAATTATTCTTTAGATTTCTCTTGGGTCGGTCTCGACTTTTTGCGGGGACATAAGTTATACGTAAAAATTAATTTGTCTTGTAGAGTGTTTCCAAAATTCTTTGTCGGAGAAAGTTTTGTATGAATTTATGTGAATTCTTCCCCACGAAACGATCGTGGCAAAAGGATAGAAAAATTTTATCTGAAAGGATAACGTATTACACTGGCAAACTTACGTTTGCAAACGTAAATTACATCAAATATTTCCTGTCTCTCAAAACTTTTGCCATCTCAGGTTTCTCCCACCGAAAAACATCTGCCCGAACGGAAGGAAAAAAGCGACTTTACCCAGGGAAGCCACTGCTAAGCTTCGTGCTTGGCTAGATGAAAACCCTCGTCCGTATCCGACGCGGGAAACTAAAGCTGCACTGGCAGATGACACAGGCCTTACGATCTTACAGGTATCTAACTTGAAAAAGATAACTCCTGAATAAGAAAAAAAAACAACAACTAAAAAACTCTTGGCACAAATTATGAGTATTGAGAACTTCAGGGGTTACATTATTCAGGATAACATGCGTGGGAATTTTGAGGACGTTCTGAAATGGTTCAGATAATTGACAAGAAAACATTTCATAGTTTTCTGTAGCGTAATTTTAAACAAGACTTTCCGGTATCAAATTCATTTGCTAGATCTGTTACGGTACTCTTGCACATTCAACTAGGTCAATACATGGTTTGCTAATACACGAAGGAGAATGCGGGGGAAAAGAAAAACACAAAGAAAAGACGAAGTCAAGAGTAAGCACTTGTGGAACAGGTCAAGGTGAGTTTATCAACTAATCAGGTACAAATCTTGATTCTATTCTGACCGACGTACGTAACCCCCTTTTAGAGCCTTATCCACATGGAAGGAACTTTCAAAGTGGTGTCGAAAAAATAAACGAAGACTGTGTTTTTTGGCCAAATGTTGACGAAAATGCCTTTATGTTGTAGTCCGCCAGAGCCATGGCAAGTTCCCATCTTAACAACTACAATGGCGTCCACTCCAGGTACGGTCCCTCCGTGCGCTAGTTTTTGCACGTGTCCACCTCACGCCACTCAAATTCACATGCCTACATCTTTAGGTAAGTCTAAAAATTTCAATACCCTGTTAAACTGAATTTCAAACGAACCGGCTATCATAGTTCCAAACTAGTAGTACTCAGTATTGCTCCCATGCGCTGCCAGCAGAAATAGTGCATTTTAATGCATCAAATATTTCCGCGCTAAAGCGCGATTGGTATCGGTTGGAACTCGTAACTCGACGGAGTATACCCCGACTAAAATTAAAATATGGCAACAATAGATTCCATTTGGCGCGTATATATATATAATTAGGGTCAGATAAATTATGCTTGAAAATTGGAGCATTATGCTATTGAGCGTCGTCTCTGAAAACATGGCATTGTGCCGAAAATCATGCTCAAGCAAAAGTTTTCGCTATGCTCCATCAGAAGCATGTCATCTGAGGTATATGATTCTACATCATATTTAACTAACTAAGATTTTAAGGCTTGCCGAGGTTCAGAACACAAAATATTATCAAATTCCTGACGAACAAGCTAGAAAAGCAGGCTAACTGTTGACACAATGCGGCTCTCGTTGAACTGTAACAGCAAGATCATTTTAAGAAATTTAGTCGTAATGTCAGCATTATGCTTGATGCTCCAACTGTAGCATTATGCCTAGCATGATGCAGCATAAGTTATCTGTCCTATATACAAAAGCCTTCATTTGTTGGCAGACTTTATATGTTTCCGAAAGGCAAACTGTGAGCTTTGACATTCAATTGTGGGCAACTATCAGAGCTTATTTTCGTTTCTTCGGTGTAATAAGAGTCGAACCGATGAATGAGCTTTCCCTTTTGATTTTCACAGGCTCAAATGTATCAGACTACTGGACAGAGATGACTTGTAACGCTGGCACTCTCACAGATTGGCCCGGAAGGTGATCATTAGAAGATTACACGAGCAACACATCAACTAACTATTACAATATACACGCGTCATTGACCTGCATGAGGTCAAGTTGCTTTTTCATTGGACAGTTTTCTTTTCTTGCTTTTTTTCGCATAAACTTAGCTGATATAAGGGTCTACAGCCCCCTTCCCCTCCCCAAAATAAGCGCAAAGAACCATGAGGAGGAATCCTTCTTGCTCCAAAAGAACAATTCTGTGACCATAAGATTCCATAAAATAATTTTGTTTTGTTGTTTTATTTACACACGAGGTAAGTCACTCCGTTTTTCATCTTTTTTTTTCGCTGTTTTCGAAACTAGCCCTTGTGGTTACTGGGTTTCATTGCTGTAAAAATTGCCCTCAGAATAACCGTTCAGTTACGATTACAATATTTATGAGCACAAATCCCGCGCGAGTTAACGGAGGTGAAAAGCAAAGGATAAGCCAGTAAGAGTGCACCTTCAACGCTATCCACGGTTTTAGTATAAACTGATATCGGTTAATTAAAAAATCCAACGTGACACTTGTCGTATTCAGTTACACAGGAACTGTTGGTAACCAGTACCTAGCTCCACCTGTAGTTGCGCTTACACCGAATCTATGGGAACCTGAATTCCAGTGCCGAGGGCTCCACGCAGCCGCACAAATACTCATGGACATGGCAAGCAAGTGAACTGATGCGAGGCATCTTGACGTCAAATTTGAATCTGTGTGTGATTTTTTGAGTGATTCACTGCGTTTTGAAACCAAATTTGTTGATGCAGAAATTTATTTAGATAACGAATTTGGCGAGTTCCGGTTATAAAAGTTTTGTTGAGCTCATTTCTAATGACGCATCATTAATGTGATGGCAAAATTCAGTTAAAAATTTATGGGCCTAATGGCATTTCACAACTTTTAAATCACACTTTAGTGATACATGTTTGAATTTACAAACAAAATTTAAAAGTTGATCTTGAAGTATTTTTTGGCCGATCAGTGGTGTCATTGTAATTTCAAAAGTTTATAACTAATTTTGTACGGTTTAAGGATTTACTGACATATTAATGAAAATTCAAAACAACTTTGTGGCGTTTTGCAAATGCTTTCATTAGCTAAATAATGATTTGAATTGTGAGGATGTCACTACCCATGCAAGTTTTATGAAACAAATATAGCTGAAAATCAGACATATGTTACACTGCATCTCCTTTATTTGAAGAGTAAATCTGCCAGAGATTTCTCAGTTTTAATGTTACAGTTTCATTGACCACGTGATTGCAAAGTTAACCATTGTTATCAAAGAGAAACTGAAGTATGAATTAAATAAATGTTTCCACAATTGATTTGCCTGTTTACACTCTGTAAAGAATATTTGATGAGGCACTCAATTTCAGCTTCATAAGTACTTATATTAATGGAAAATACTATATCAGACACATTCTCTTTTTCAAGGTAGGGGATAACAACAACTCCACAATCACGCACCTCCTCAGATTCATTTATTGTAAATTTTTACTAAGAAGTACACCAGCACTACAAATCCTGAAAACAATTCTGATCTGTTGGGAATATTTTTTTGTACAAATGATGAGTTTTATCGTAGTTATCCCAATATATTAGAAAAAAAAAAGACTACTTCTAGTGACTACCACAAAACTAAAGTTAGCATTCACTCAGTCAGAGAATTCATTTTGTCTCCTGAAAAGACAAACATGATTTTCATTAACAAGGACATAATTATAGCTTTCATAAAGTCACTTTCAAAAATGCCATGTTGGTAAATGTTTTAAATTTATCCAAGAAGTAATTATGATCCCCTTAAATGAGCTACATCTCAACATTTGAAGTATTTGTGCCATGGAAAAGCAACTAAGAACATCATTTTGTAAGCATACTTTTGAGAAAGATTAAGAAGAAACAACAGTATTTTCAAGAGTTGCACCAACTGTAACCATGTCCTATGTTGTCCAAGGGTCAGTATGAGCATACTTCTCTGTAGGATTTGGCTGGATTTGCCTCTTTCCAGTAGCATCAATGACATTCTCCAAATCATAGAAAGAGTATTCATTGTATGAATAGTATTCCTTCACTTTGTATGTGCTTATGTCGCTGACCTCTTCTTTTTTTTCTGCCAACAAAAGGATTGTAATATGGAAATTATTCCCTAAAACAATAGACTAAAAAATATGAAAGTCTGGTTAAATCATAAAATCAGTCATTCAGCCAATAGGTACGTCATTCAGCCAGTCAGTCAGCTGGTGAGCATGTTAATTATTTGAGCAATCAATCAATAAGTTAGCTTTCTGTCTTTCAGTCAGTAAGTCAGCCAATCACTCAGTTGGTCTGTCAGAAAGTCAGTCAGTCAGTTAGTTTGTCAGGAAGTCAAGCAGTCTTTCACTGGATCAGGCAGTCACACAGTCTAACAGACAGTCTGAGAGGCAATCAATCAGTCAGTCTGCAAGTCAGTTAGTAAAAAGTAAATGAGATGGTCTCTCAGTCAGTCAGTAAGTCCACTAATCAATGAGTTCATTGCTCAGTCAGTCAATCAATAAATCAATCTCTCAGTCAGTTAGTTAATCAATCTAGGATTTGATAGCTTCATCAGTCAGTCAGTCAGTAAATTAACGAGTTAATTGCTCAGTCATTCAGTTGGCCAATCAATAAAATCAGTTAATTCATTAACTAATAAGTCCATCTGTGAGCCAGTCACTCATACAGTCTGTCAGATGGTAAGCTAGTTAATAGACAATTGGTAAGAGGGACAGTCAGAGAGTGATTCAGTCAGTCCCACTAGGGTGGTCAGATAAACAGACAGAAAAACAGACTGGCAGACGAACAGTTAATCACTTGGCTACTATACCAGCCACAGCTAGACTGGACGAAAGAAATTAGTAAACCAAGTTACTTTCTTGTGTTAAAGAATTTTCACACCTGTTGGTGAACTAGAACTGGCCGTGTTGACGGAATCGCCGTCATCAGATGCTGAGCTGCTGGATGTCAACCTCCACATTGCTGTTGGAATCCGCTGAAAAATAACAAAACGTAATTAGATAGAAGTAACTTGGTATTCATCACTACTGACGGTAGCCTAATATGAATTTTACTAATATACTCTATGTGCGGCATGTAAAAATAAAAGTACATTGCGTTTACAAACGATGAAAACCACAGGAGAATAAATTATAACATAATATTGTCTTGCCAAAGTAACTTTACTATCAGCTCAACTTCTTACCACGGCAAATTGTCGTAAATATCGAGGACTGATGTTCTTCGCCACGGCAGCCATCTTGGAAACCGGTGCAAGCGTGATTACGGGAGTGGACTGGAGTAATAACACGGAACCCAATCCCTTATCGGACAAACGAAAAATGGCGGACTGTCTTGCAGATTTTGAAAGTGTATAAAGTGCTTCTTTAATTTGACGCTTCCATGGCTGACGGATTTGGTGCAATTACGTGGTGGGGATTTAGCCCAGCTCTTGATCTGCAGGACAGATATCAGTGTAAGTTATGCTCCAGCTGATAATCATACGAATAAGGTTATCTCTTCTGCCCGGTTCCTGTTTATTTCTTACAAATACGATTGGAGAATTAACTTTAAAAAACTTGATAATGACGACCAACAGAATTTTGTTTACTACACCAGGTCAGCTTGATACATGATCTTGAGTGGTCAAACTCGGAAAAAAAGAAAGGTTATTCTTTGTCAACTTGGTTCTGTTTTCAGGGTTGTCAAGGGGAAAAAATGGTGACAGTTTCTGTCCGTAGTTAATTCTATTTATATTTTTCTATCCCACAGCTTTAGCTTCCAAGATTAAAAATTTGAACATCTCAGAGTCAAATGGTGCCAACAAACGAGGTAAGTAGCAGTCTACGTTCAGGAGGCATGATGGAACTAGTTGTTTGGAATCTGTTGTTGTTATTCAGCACTTTATTTTTAAATGATTTCAACGATGCATTTTAAATTCTCATTATTCATTGTTATTGTTGTTGTTTCTTTTTCTTAACCTTAACATTAGTGTTCACATTCTCTGCACTGATCTCTCGACATCTTTATGGTACTGGCTAGGAGAATTTTTTTAGCAATCAGGAGCTTCCTAAATTGGTGATTGTTTCCTTAATTCTCTGGACTTTTATGTTTGATCTAAGGGTGATAATGTAAGGAGAAATAAGATGTCAGTCACCCCAAGGGGTTAAAGGGCTTAACCCTGCCAGAAGTGGTTAACACACAAGGTCACCTTAGTTATTAATTTCTCCAAAGTTTTGATTTTTTTTTTGCTAGGAAAATGTAATATCCTTCTGATAGGAGCAGGTGATTGTCGACACATTCTAAAGACCATTGCACATACCTACAGACATGAGAGGAGAGAACTTTGTGTGAGTTTGATAAATGATTTCTTCTATGTTTTGATCACAGAGAGATTATATTTCATTATCTGCTTGTAATTTCATCCGCAACTTAACTTTTGTGCTTGCATTTCAAGCATGAAAATCCTTTGAAGTTCAACATCCTAACCTCTTTCTATACCAATTGTTTTACTCGACAGATCTGTGTTGTTGAGAATAATCTTGAGATTTATGCAAGACATCTTTTGCTTTTGTCCATTGCACTGGAACCAAAAGAAAGACTTGGCTTGCAAGGTGAGCTGTGGATCACAATTTTGTTACAATATACAGTAGCCTGTTCTGAGCCCTTGGCTGTTGTGATAACTTAAAAGTTGACTGATGTGGAAAAATGTGAAATAGAGGAGACTGAGCTGGGGATTGAATTCTTCTGTCATTTTAGACTTGCCTGTTCTCATTTTCATTTGTTTTTCTGATGGTTATTGATTAAAGTTGTGTCTGAATAGACAAAAATCTGTGACCTGTTACCTATTGTTTTACATTCAATACTGTTACTCATAATTCAAAGTTTGAAAATGAAATAAAAAGGGATTTTCAACATTGACACTTCATGAGTTCTTCAAGAAGACTTCGTAGATGCTGAGATCAGAACAAATCTTTTGAACCCCTCAATTTTCAACCAGGTACCATTAAATTCTCTTCAAGGTTGATCAGAAAGGTACATTTAGTAAAAGAGTGTTTTTTCATGTACAGGTTTTGGAACTTCTGTAGTTGCAAAGTGATAACTTACTCTGTGGGATGGTATATATTGAGGCACTGAAATGCAGTTTTTTTTACCTTCTATTCAACTAATTGGTAGAAATATTTAAAGACTGTAACAATTTCCTTTTATTTTAGAAAAGACAGAGTTGTTTCTTGAGCTGTTTGGGAACAGTCTTGTGAGACCACAAGCCAGTGAGTACTTGCAGCAAAAGTCATCTGAATTTATCAGGTAACTATACTTTGCTTTGTCGGATCATAATCATATATAATGATGATTTAAATTCCCTTGAAATTAACTGAAAAGAAGCAATAGAAAAAACCTTAAAATATTTGCATAATATAATTAAAAGAAGAGTAACAACAAAATCATACAATTACATTGTGTTAGAGTTGTAAGCTGTTGGGTTTTACCGTATTTCTTTTCTTCCAGGATGGTCACGGATTCTGATTACCTTGAAGCTCACCTTCCAGTGTTCAACTTTTCACAGCTGAAGGTTGCTATCAAAATAATTTTATTCTATCTTAAGACTGTGATCATTTGAGTCGCTGTATGACAATACTGTAGATCCAAAAATTGGTACTTTTCTCCTGTTAAATGTGGCTCTCTTGTATGCCACTAAACTTCCCACAATACCTCTGTTTTGGTGTTTCATGGCAGCCAACTTACTATTGCTGGTGGCCAGAAGAGAAAAATTTCAGCCTATGATCAACATTATGAGCACAGTCCACACCTGATATGACTCAGAGTAACTGAGACAAACCACAGTCAAATCTGCTGGGTTTATGGCAGATTTTTGGTGAGATGCATCTGTATGGTGCTCAAAGCTCCTTTGCATTTTTTGTTCTCCTTACAATTAACAGTGAGGAATTTTTTGTTCCTTTGTCCTTTGTTTGCAGAGGATTGTGTGCTCTTTATTTGGATAGATTTGATGAGAGTTACTTGCACTTTCAGAGAGAAATAATTTTCCAGACTCTACTGAGAGGAATTTTATATATTTTGGGCTTGGGAAATTTATTGGTGTTAATATTTTACTGTTAATTTATCTGCTGCAAGATCTTCTACTTTATTAAATGCAGAATGGTTACCTAAGTTAAAAAATTACTCTTAAGTCACTAACTAGTAAAAATATATGTGGTTGTAATGTAAAACATTTGTATTAAAACTATTTCTGATTATGTTGACTAGTTTAAAGAAAGAGATCAGCTGGAGAGCATATTTAAATTCTGGAGAAATTCAGATCCCAAAATATTTGACATCTGCAGACACTGGTAGGGTTTTTGCTGCAATTTCTTTTACATTTTTACTCTTTGATTTAGGGTGAAATATTGAATGAAAAAAACCTGCACAGCATCTGCTTTTGCATAATTGCTGATAAATTTTCAATTGCTGTTGCTCCCTTTCCTCTTTGCCAGGCTTATGACAAAAAGAATAACAGCTCTCCATATTTGATGACCTAAACTATCTTTCTTATCCTGTTTTCTTAAAATGTTTTTGAAATTGCGTATCCTAGCAGTAAAAAAAGGAAAATCATTTTTTCGAAGAAGAGGATGTGATAGGCTCATGTTGGAAAAATTACGTGTGTCATGCATGAATACAAAAGGATTCATCAAAGGATACGGGAAGGAAGAGAAAATTGTCCTTTGGAAATATTTGAGAATATTTCAATATGTCCTGTGCTTGGCAAATGTGAACCTAGAAAATTACCTACTTTGCCAAAAAACTCTCTGTCGTTAATGTAGTGGTTGAGTATAGGACCCTGAAGTTGGAAGGTTTAAGATCTCTAATTGTTCCACCGTTGTGGTGAAACAACAGACATTTTTCTGTTGAGTCATCAAGGGTTGTGTCTCATTGAAATATAAAACTAAAAACAGATCTTATCTTATCATTCAACAGAAGTGACAGTCATAACTCACTGAAAACAAAAGTTTTGCCATCCTCTGGATAATTTATTTCAATAGTACTTTCTCTCACAGCATTTTATGATGATCTGATGTTATTTAATGATTTTTTTGTGTAGGGATGAGAGGTTGAGGCAGTACCTTGCTGTTCGCTATGACTCTAGGGAGAATATTTATGACTGGGACTACAGTATGAAATTGTCCAAAAAGGTAAATTGAGTGACATTGCTAGCTGGGACAATTTAGTGGTTACTACTTTCACTGCACAATTCCTCTTTCCATGAGAGGAAAGTGTGTTTGGCTCGACTGTGCAATTCATTGGTGCCATTGGCTTAATACCTGGATGTGTCGAATTTTCAGAAGTGCCTTTGAGGCTAAAACTGATGTCGCTAACTTTTGAGGCATCTTCTGCGTCAAGCAAAATTGCTTTGACTTTGTTTTTCTCGTAATTGGTCCCGACAACTTGCGCCATTCTCACAACCAATCAGATTCAAAACTTAAAACCGATCGCAGCTAAGTCAATTGCATTTTCTCGCGTTTCAGACAACTTGCTTGTTTCTTCTCTGAGTTCTCATTGGTACACGTGATATGGAACTTTTAATGGAACCATAAACAAGATAATCACTCACCAGAAAAAATTTTAAAATTTACCTGGCCCAATTGGAACTCAAAGTAAAAACAAGTTAACTCCTCGGGAAGGGGAAAAGGGAAATTCATAATTTCTCAAGTGAGCGAGCCATCTAAATATATTGCTTCTTTTATATCGCTTTTAGGCATCAATTATCAATAGACGTGAGTACAAGAGTTGGCGGGAACAGGGCGTAGCGTTTGAGTTACGAAGTGACTCCACTTATGAAGTTATCAACAGGACTTTGGCTTCTGGTATCATCATTAAAAAGGTATTTAAAAAAAGTGGAACACGAGCCATATATTTTGACGTCTTCTGTCATGAAATCCATTTGTTAAACAGACCCACAGCAACATAGAGTCGGTTTCCTTTATATGATAAAATGGTAAGTGTTGTTAATAGTGACGTCATCCAAGCGTCTTACCTCCGATAGTCATGAATAATAGCCAATGAAAATGTGTGCATAATTCATGGTAATTTAAAAATTTAAAGCACTTTTAATTCAACTAATTTATTCTTGTTTTCTCATCACTATATTCCCACCAATAACATAGTTCCATTTTCTGCGCCAAAAAAACCCACACACAACCCACAATTCCTCTAATCGCTCTGACGAAGGGCTAACGCTCGAAACGTCAGCCTTCAAACTCTTTACGGTGTCAATTTACGTTTTCAACTCAGTTGTTAACACTAAATTACCTGTTATACTCGCCCACCGACGCAGCACCACAATTTCTTTAGAAACTTACCCCCTTTATTCATTTGTGTATAATTCAGCTTATTATATATAAAATGCTACTTTCTTTCTTCGTGTGTCAGGATGGAGAGAGAGTTGCTCGCAGAGGTTACTGGGGAGACATAATCAACAGTCCATATTTAGCTTTTGGTACTGAAAGTGAAGAGGAATTTCTTTTTCAAACGTCGAATGGACAGCATGTTAGAGTAAGTGAACTTCTTGGGTCGCTTATATTTATGTGCCCATTTTACGTGGCTTTACAGAGACGTTTTCTCAGATTTTCTTGAAATCCTGAGGTCAAGGAATCGTGACCTGAAAACTACCCACAGGACCTTTCGGGGTTGTCGCGCAGACCCGGTAAACAGCCGAAGGTTGCGAATTCTTTTCTCGGTCAGTTTAGTTGAAGACGCTAAAATCTATGTAGATGATGTTTGATTTTGCTTAGGGTTGAAGTTTCCTCGAACTTTGGTTCATTTACCGCGTGTCAAAAACGTCTGTGTTCTTCAATATCAATTGTAGAGTGTGACTCTTCGGCTTGTAACGGTCAGGCGATGAGGTTGAATGGTTACGTGTCGATAGAAAACGTTTCGACTGAGTGTCGTAAAACCAAACCTGAAGTAATTACAACGGTCTAAGAGAGATTTCGCAAAGAACCGATGAGAACTCAAAGTTAAAACAAGGTCACCGCCTAAAGCGCGGGAAAACGTGGGTGACCAAGTCGCGATTGGTTTTAGTTTGCATCTAATTGGTTAGTGAGTTTTCCTAGCCAATCACAGAGCGAAGTAGATTAAAACTTATATAATACCAGATTACTTAATAGGCACTCAGATTAAAGTTACCTGATCTTACCGCACCTTGGTTTGCTCGGTATGATTTAGTGCACCGTCATTGTTGCATTGCCATCTTCATAAACGTGGCTAATAGTAGGTCGGACCTTCGGATTTCGCATCCTTTCGCCCTACCACTGAGATTAGAGAACTTGATGGTGACTTCGGACATGAACTGCATCATATGCGACAAGCTTTCTGCATCCTGCAACGAATAGCAATCTGGAAAGCGTTGAATATGAAAAAAAAAGAGGCAAATTTACCTAAATTTTGACCTCTGTGATGACCCGAAAAGACCCATACTTTGGGAAACTCAGCATGCTATGTTTCTAACTGTTTTGTTTTTGTATCAGACAGCAACAAACGTCTCTGAATACAACATCACGGCTCTCATGCATGAAATATTAACAGGAGAAAAATATATCCCGCCAAAAATTGAGGATGAAAAGGAAAGAAAGAAAGAGATGGCTACTTTACAGGAAATTGGGGAAGAAGAGATTGAATCGGATCAAATGGGAAATACGAAAGACGGAGATACGCCAAAAGAAACTGTACATGCGACGCAAGGTGAATTACAGGACTTCCTATTACAGACCTCCTGTTCTTTTTGTTTTGGTTGTTTCGAGTTAGAATACTCACCGAGCGTTTCGCAAAAACCCTGCTAAGCTACTGGTGACGAGCGCAAAAGGCAAGGGACCACTGCTCCTGACTCAGTCGGGAACAGTAGTCCAGTTGACTAGGAACTCGGAGTGATTGTATTTTGTGATGGAGGGAAGGAAAACTGAAGGATTCAGAGAAAAAACTTCGACTGAGCAGGAATGCAAAACAGATAACAGACTCAACCTCCATGTGAGCCAGGTTCGCAAATCGAACCAAAGCAAAAGCGTTGAGAGGCAAGGGCTATATTCTGCACCAGTCCTGCTCCCCTATAAAACTCTGTAACTTATATTTCTTCCCATTTTACAGGGTACATGGAGTGTCCTGATGTCAAAGTCACTTTCCTGCCGCTGAATTGTGTTCCGGATCTCTCTAAGAAAAGCAAATACAACAAGCTATTTGACGTCATTTATTTTTCAAACAGGTATGTGATCACGGGATTAACTAAGAGTCACGTTTCAATATTATGGGCTAATTTTCACGCCATAAAAAATATTTTAAACTTGTAAAATACTTTTAAATATTGGCCCCGTGTGCGAGAGATAAACGTAGGATAGACGAAAATGAACCAAGGAAGAATGTAGAATTTCAGGATTGGAGAAGATTGAAGTGGATTGTTAATAGTAGATTTGAAACTCTAGCCAAAATATCATTTCAACGTTCTGAAACTGCGACGTGGCTCTTGTAAGTAACAAGTGCGCCATCTTGTATGGTTACGCATACTCCGATAAGTTAGTGTGTGTATTTTTACTTTCAGTATGGTACACTTACTGACACCCGAGGTGAAAGAAATTTTTTCTGACGAAGCTGTTATTATCGCTGAAACAACTAAGTAAGTATGTTACATCAAAAGTTTTATAGTTATGAGTGACTTCAATGTATTAGAAGTAATGCTGTGCACCTTCCGTGTGCTTGTAGGTTCATGTTGGATCTTAAACCGGAACAAATGCAGGAATACATGAAAAAGATAACTTCAATGGCTGTGAGTGCTGAATGCAAGGTATGTTGAGAAAATAGCAGGAAGACAAAAAGATAAAAGACTGCAGACTCAAGGCAGACCGACGCACAGGCAGACCGACAGCCAGACAGATATACCTCAGACGATGTGTGGACTGACGGACAGACAGAACGGAAGCCAGATGTACAGCAGACTATACATAGACTGAAACACAGACAGAGTTATGCAGTCAGTTAGACATACAGACTCAAGGTAGACCAACACTCAACAGACCTTGGGTATACGGACAGACAGACAGACATTCGATCTATGCAAGGTGGACGGACACATAGACAGAGAGACATACAACAAACTCCATGCAGACGGACAGAAAGGCATGGGTCAGAGTCTAGAAAAGCTACCAAACACATACATGGGTCAAACTCTATGCAGACTAACAGACATATGCGCGAAAAACACAGAGCAGTTAGATAGACAGACCTACGCCAGACTCTTGGCAGACAGACAGGCGCAATTTTATCACTTGATTAGAAAGTCATCTTCCATTTCAAGATGCAAATAGTATTCACCGTCTCCCATCCCCTCTCACGCCAATTCCTCGTATCGCGAAGAGCTATAGCTTGCTTAGTTTCCTCCCAGAGTACCACTCGAGTGAGAGTTTCAAACTTGCGTGACAAGAGACATTTCTGCGCGTGTTTATGTTTTTCATTTCATTACAGGCGGTAGACCACGCTGATGGAGAAAAAGACGCTCACGCCTTCTTCACTTTTCAAAGATAACCTTCACCGACTGAAGTCTTCTTGATTTAGAGACTTACCTAACTGGGCTCACGTTACACAGCATACTTTTTGTAATATTTGTTACGGCCTCCGGCTAGAGCTCTGAACGGGTCTGGCACTGATAACCTCATTTTTAGCGCTAGACCTTCACCACACCTCTTCCCGAGACCCTCACGCGTCTCAGATCTTCCTGCTGGCGGAGAAACGCATGTCCTGCAGCACGCAGGCTTGTTTTAAAGAGACTTGGGGCCAGAGGCCCACTGACTGCGTGAAACAGTGGTTTGGGTTATACCTCGTGTAAATAACTGGCCCTTAGTGTTTCTGCTGTGATACCGGATATTTCTATTTATTTTGCGGACAAGAACTGTAATAAAATTGGTAGAGTGTTTAGTTTTTTCCCGCATGCAAATTTTGCTGGATCATAGTTTTAAGAAGGATGATATTCCGCTGTCAAGTAGAATTGCAACTAGTCAATAAGATCTTAATAGTATACTTTGTTCGCTACTTTAAACATGGCACTCTCGCAGAAAGCGAAATTCACGAGTCGATTGAAAAAGATTTCCAGCCCTGGTAAAAAAAGGGTCTCGACTCTAGAATCTTTCGACCTCTTGTGTCCATTGTATGTTCCCGCGCATTTGCAATAAACTGTTTTATTGTGTGTGTGATGTATGGTAGAATGTGGTAGAGTACACTTTGGCCACACGCGATGTAATTTTTTTCGCAAAACTTTGACCCCGTGGACATGCAGTCAAATTTTGATAAGGTCAGAAGAAGGCCGAATTTCGGAAGTCAGATTCATAACAAATGGGAATCCTAGAATTTTAACTTTTAGAATCAAATCGAATTTGGAAATTTCTTCGAACGCTTTTTGTCTCCGCGCGCGGATATCTCCTTTCGTCATTAATTTTCTTACTATGACGTACAGTGTTTTCGCAAAGTTTAGTCTGAAAAGACATCCCATGAATGTTCAATCATGGACTGTACTTTCGGTTGAGAAACCTGTTTTGGTGAAGAATTTAACAGAAGGAGAAACCAAAATTTAGAATTCTTCTTAAAATCATGGATGCTTTAGAGTACGTGTTTTCTGCTGCAAGCGGGGACAGATCTAATGTGCTGGAATTCAAACCAAAGTGTGTCATGCGAGAGGATCTGATGAGCTTAAGCAGAAAATTTCCATTGATTCCTGGTTCTGAACGATCGATAAAATTTTGCACAACTAAACTGTCTCAAAAGGTGAGTCTTTCATATCGTGTCTTCATTATACCCCAATCTCACGAACAAAACGTATTAAGTTAAACCGGGTTCAACTAAATAGAAATCAGAAACAAAGAACTGAAAACTGAATTTTCTATAAGTTTCGGGTAGTACTAGTTTGTGAATGCCAATGAGTGAAACGGCAGCTTTTATGAATAAAAGCTTTTCAACCGCGTTTAATAAACATGTTTGATTTCAAGAGGGTATCAGTTTATATAGAACTAGCGGACTTGGACATCACTATTCCCAGAACTAGACATGTAGGCTGTAAGATAGCTCAAATTAAAATCTGGCGTTAGCTCAGTGTTAAGTTAAGAGCGTCAAAGCAAGTTGTGTGTGGCAAAAAAAAAATCTATTTTCTTTGTTTCTGTTTCATCCGGGGTGAATTTTGGGTAGAGGAAAGTTCGCTTTATGGTAGACATTCAAAACTCTGTAAAGCTGTCTCATTGATTGGGAAAAAAATGCAATTTCGAGCAAAAAATAGTGCGATTCATGAAAAAAATCGCACCAATGAGAGCCAATCAGATTGCAAGGATCATCGATGATTTCAAAATGGATATAAAAATAATATTAATTGCAATAATAAAAGAAGTAGTGCTCATAATATAACAATAATAATAATGATCGCAACCGAACCCAATGTATTTACTTAAGAGAAAAAAAGGAACTTTGCCTTTTTGTTGCATCGCTATTTCTTACAATGATGAATATGGTAGAAGCTGTCAAAACAAAGACTTTATTTTCGTACCTCAAAAAATTACAAAAAATTTTTTAGTTTGATGGAATTCAAGTATATACTTTATTATTTCAGCTGCGAGAGACACCAGCCGATGCTGATTTTGATCTGACAGATCCCTATAGTTCACCGCCACAGTACAATGTACTACACGACCCTCATTTGAAGGATTACTTTCAGAGTCCAGCCATGAAGCGCAGACTTGTCGACAAAGGTAAGCGGCAATTTCCAATTGAATATTGTTCATAATCCCAGAATGCTTTGGTTTCGCGTTACTACGCCCTGTTATCGGTCAAGAAAACGTGCGCTACTCTCTCCACTATAGCCTGCTCGTTACTTTTAGTGAGTGAAACGAAGCGTGGAAGGAAGCAGTTCGATAGAAGCGGAGGAGTGAAAAAACGAAGGGGTTTGGGTCTGCTCGCGTATAGTCTTGTACCCAGACTTTTCATGACCAAGCGATTGTACATTTCAGTGACAGTTACACGGTAATATCTGGGTACGTCATTAGGTCAGGCAATGAACCAACCCGAAACAAACCTCCTTCGGTTTTTACACTGCCGCCACTATCGCACTGACTATTTTGCACGGATTTAGCATCCTTCTGACTTGCTGAAAGCCTGCAACAGGCTTGGAAACTAGAGCCAAGTATGATTTGCTCACACGAGATTTCCAAAGTTCACGCTGTTCACTCGTTTCAACTTTAAGTTTTCATTGACTTCTTGTAATATTTTCCATTTTCTTTTGATTGACTTTGAGTCCTTTTTTGTACCACTCGATTGAAATCTTGATTATTCAGCACTGATCAGTATAGACCACATAGGCGAATAGTGGTTTTTTGCGCGCGCTGATTGGCTAGTTTTGAAGCGATTAGCCAGTTGTATTCACCCCCGAGCAGCTGAAGAGACAAATTGCGCGTCAGGAGTTTAATTTCTAACCATTTTCGATATATAGGGAGAAATAAACTGATTTTCTTGTTTCCGTATACTAAATTATTTAAAAACCTTATTATCAGTGACCAGTATTAACCTCCTACTATGAATAATTAACAATTATTCCTTAAGCGCTTGTTGAATATGAGATGGTAAATAGCCAACGAAGAGCATAGTACCGAGTTTGCTATAACCAGTTTCGTATCCAGCGAGCGCGTATGAAATAATTGTTTTCTTTTAAATTTCATTAAATCCTGAACGTTTGGATATTAGGAGCCTTTTCAGCTCCGCAACAGTTGGTGCAATGCATTCCCGTATGAGGTGAATCGAAATATGAGCTGACAACTGGAAATGAGTAAACCAATCAAAACACTAGAAACTTAATGTTCGGAGCTGGAAATTTAATAATTGTTAATCATTGTTTGCTTACTTTGAATCTTTTCTTGGTTTGTCCTGAAGGTTTCATCACAAACAGCGGCTTTATAAAATGTACCCTTCTTGAATTCAACATGTTTCGCCAGTGGATTAGAAAGCTTAAGTTAGATCGAATGCATCAGGAACGCCGAAGACAGCGTCGGCTTGAGCTTCAGCTCTGGAAAGAGAAGCAAGCTAGGGAACGTCTTCTTCGGGACAAAGAGCTGTACAGCATCGTGCGGTTGCGGGAACAGAGGGCTAGAGATCTGAAAGAACGCGCTGTCAAAAAGCGTGAAACAGACAGGGAAAAGTACCTAAAACTACAAGCGAAAGATCGGAAGAGGAGGGAAGAGTACAAAGAAGCCGTGAGGCGAAAAAAGGACAGGGAAGCAAGTGAAAGAGAGAAGCATCTCGCTGATAGAGAACTGCAAAAGAATGAAACGGAAACCAAGGCGTGTTAGACATAAATAACTTTGAATATAAATATATGAAAATCATATATGTGAACTTAAAGACGAAGGAACGTTTCTTTGTCCGCAGTTCACATGTATGATTTTCATATATTTACAGTTATTTATTCATAATTTCATGGATTTATTTGGGGAGGGAGGGGGAAGGGAGGAATGGAGGAAGGGAGGGGGAGGGAGGGAGGGAGGGGGGAAGCTGTTAGAAGCTGTAAGGTCCTGCTGCTCACAGTCTTGCGTACGCCTTATTACTTTGACATGTAATACGTATGGACCGAGCGCAGCGATCTCTACATGTTTTGACATGTAGAGCTCACTGTGCTCGGTTCGTACGTCACGACCTCGACTCAAATGTTTCCTCGTCCAGTCCTTCCGCTCAGTCGATAATTTTATAGTGTTGGATACCTAGACTTTCACTCATTAAAACGAGCACTGTGATTGGTTGATTCTTGGTTACGTGGCTCTGATCAAATTCAAATGTATCCCGACCGGGATACAATTGCGCAGTTGTTGCCCGCGCTCCGAATACAACAGCATGTCCTCGAGTCCTGATGTTTCTCAAGACGAAGTCGAGGGAAACATCAGAACTCTCAGGAAAACAAAACTAACTGTTTCCCTTGGGACCATACAGTAAGTGTATATTACTTACTGAAGTGGAAGTGTAGGGCAGCGAGTGCCACACATTATCACCTCCAGCCAGATATTTTCCCGACCGGCCCTCCCGCTCAGTAGCTACGTTTTTATAATTTACTGGAGTGGAGTTGGAGCGCAGCAAGTTCCCCACGACATGACCTTGAGCTATTTGCCTGTCTGGCCCCCTCCTTGCCCACCGGCTAATTTAATTTTTTTTATCGATTTATTTTTGCAGGGTAAGAAAACTAAAATTCGCCTCCTCGTGAAACGAAATTATGAAGACAGAAAAAGAGAATCATTGGTGCAACAGAAAAAACAGTCTATGGTGGAAGAAAAAGAACAAAGGGTAGACATATTTTCTTCTGACTTCTTTAGTATCTCAGCATTCTTGAACTAACTCAGCATGCGACGTTTTGAAAGAGAGCAAATCGGTCTCAGTAAAGGATAGAATGCAACTCGATGAACCAATGACAACTCGAGGGTCGAGCGCGGGAAAACGAGGATTGGGAAGTTGTCTCAAGGTTTTCATTGTGAGTCAGTTTCAGAGCGTAGGTTTGCAAAACCGTAGGATTGCAAGAAATAAGTAAAATCCTGATTTGACAACCATTGCGAAAAAAATTCAGATTTGTAGATGGATAGAAGCTGGCGTGTACCACTCGTTGAGCAAACTTCAATGCAATGTTAACTCTAACATGTGCGAAAAGCACGACACATTAGCGCGCTAAGAAGGTAACTACTTCATTTCTTTTTCCTGTACAGACTCAAACAAAATCTTATTGTAATGTTTCCACTGCTTTTTTTTTAGATGAGGGAGAATTGGAAGCGCCGTTGCGCAATGTTGTTGGTTCGACAGGAAGAAAAACGCAAACAGGTAGAAGATGAAAGACGAGAGTTTGAGAGAAATGTGGCAAGAAGGACTTCGATTGTGGAAAAACAGCGTCGTAAAAGCCGAGGTAAACCAATCCTTTGCTTTAAATATGGAGCGCTTTTCGTGTCGTAAAAGCAAAGCCAATGACAACGGCCGATCAAAAGAAAGGAAAATACGTTTGATACGAGAACTTAAAGTAAAACCAACCAAATTGCCTAAAGCGCGGGAAAACGCGGGCGACCAAGTTGTTATTGGTTTTAGTTTTGAATCTAATTGGTTGAGAGAGTGGCACGAGTTTCCTTGACCAATCACAGAGCCAAGTAAAGTAACATAATACAATCTCAGACTACTTCAACACTCAATCAAAAATTGCGATGACACAGACATTTTGGATTAAAAACGTCGTTTGCAAATATTCCTAACCCAATTGTAATAATCCTAGTTCTGTATGGATATTGGACAAGATAAATCATTAGATTTTGAGTACGGGCGTCGAATGTTGAAAGATGTTATTCGCTTTACAAAAGAACCAAAAAAATTTGGGTCTCATAAAGAATCAAACCCCAGACCTTCGGATTCTGTGCTCCAATACTCTGCCACTGGGTTGCTGAAAACTCTGTCGTGGGTTAGGCCAGCTACAAGGTGAGTACACATGTGACAAGCGCCCAGCATACGCTAGGATCCCTAAGTAATATCGAAAGCGTTGAGTGTGTTAATAGAATTGTGGTTGGTTCTTTTTTCTTTGGAAATCGTTAAATGCCACTCAAGCATTTTTCTAACGAAGAGTAAATGTATAAATCGATGTCGCGGAGGCTGAATAGAAAAGAATTTACCGAAGATAAATACGTTCGGTGTTATAGAATAATTCCGTTATATGTTTATGTTTTCTCCCTTTCAGAACAACATGATCAGTGCTTGCAAAAGAGGCGCAATACTCTTGTAAAGCAACATCACAACGCGGAGCTTTTCCTTGAGAAAATGAGGGAGAATAAGTTGAAAGACTTAAAAATATGGAAGCAGAAACATGCTTGGATGCGAGAGAGGCATGAAAAGCAGGTCAGAAGTGACTATTGGTTCTCTGGAAAAGAGGAACGCATATGGCAATATCAAATGTGCTCTGAGTATTTGCGAATTGCATGCCGAATTATATCTCTCTATGTGGAAAGATCAACTGATCATTTTATCAGTAATGGCGAGCTTTTTGTCTCAATTGAGAACATAGTTGTTGTCATAGTAGAGTGATCGAAAACTATTTCTTACCGTGATTAGAATGCAAAAACTATAACCACGGTAAAAAACGACTTTTTTGGGTGAGAAAACTCACCCTTTTCCCATAAATCTTGCTACATTTGTTGACAGAGGGAACTCATGGGATCAAAACACCACACAGGGTGTTTGATCATCCCAATTTGTGTTTGTTTAGGGTAGGAGGGGGACATTGTAAGGAAATTCCGGGATGTAGTATACTTTCAAGTCATCAACCTTGGCTTCGGTTAGAATTATCCGTTTATTTTTTTCTACCCTGTGTTGGATAACAACTTGTGGCATATTGACCTCAGGGAACCTTTATCGCTGTTAAATCTTGCGTATTCATGCGGGGAGAGGGACCGGCAAATTAATGAATATGTAGCACTGGAAAGTATTAATGCATGCTAATGCAGATTATTTATATTTTTGCGTTTTCACAACCTGAATTGTAAGGTTGGTAAATTTCTGTTTAAAAACTTGTGACCCTCTCCCACTAAGGGATGGGGTCACAGGCACCATAGGCACCCCCTCTCTCTTAGTTTTCCCCAGTCCTAATTTAGGCTCAAGATTCGGATGACTACTCCCGGTTCGATGACATATACCCGTTTAGGCTAAGTACCCCCGTCCTTGGAATTTTCGCGTGGAAGGAAGCAGACGCATAAGTGGTAACTTTTCGCTGATGTGCTCCTTAGGGACGTAGAGTTTCGCTTCAGACCAAAGCTAGCGGTCGGGGTCGAGAAAAACGTCGGAGGTCTCGGTTGTCAAGCGTGTGGGATTTAAAGTCATCCCTTGAAGAAGAATTTGGAATCAAAGACAATGTAGTTTACAGGTAATACAGTAAAAAAGAAGGAGAAAAATGATCGAGGCAAACGATGCAATAATTCTCCTGCCCCCTAACAAACACTCTCAAGATGAATAAATAAAGAACATATGAAGTAAATGATATAGTTATTTACAAAATTGACCCCCTCCCCCCCTTATCTCCCTTCTAGGTTTTTCCTTAGTGTTTTTTCGAAAGAAGAAAGGAACAATCTTTCTCAGAGTTGTCCTTTCCTTTGACCTTAAGGCCTTGATCCATTCCTTGGAAATGTGTTGTCTATGGGTGACCTGGGTTTTTTTTTATCCCTGACATGTTTGATAGCCTTGCATTTTAAACCCACGCGGAAAACGGAGTATACGTCATTTGTGATGTTTATGTCTCACTCTATTGTCGCTTTCTTCTTCGGACGACGCAGGGCGAAAACCTAAAGAAATGGCAAATAAATGCCCAAATGAGCGATTCCCCTTCGAAATCCTCTATCTCTTTGTCCTACCCGTCTCTCACTCTCTTTATCGTTCTGTTTTGAAGTGGTGTCGTTTCTGCGGGGAAGAAGACACGAGAAGGCGATCAGCTAAGAAAGGTAAGATTTTGTTCAGTATTGATGTGTTTTATGATAAAAAGGCGTATGGAGGTACACCCGAGTGCCTGGCTTTGTGTGATCATCCACGAGAGAAAATCACCTTTAAATGAGAATTGTTATACCATTTTGGTCACAATGAGAATATTCCTAACTAGACGATCATAAATTGTTTATTGACGCCAACTTTTCCGTTTAGAAGAGGTAGAGATCTAATTATCTTACAAAACGATCGAGAATAAAACCAAGCTCTCATTAAGTAGAATTCTGCACAAGCTCATACAAAAAGTGACATCTGTAACAATGCAGAACTTCGCAACCTCTTCTGACTTCCCAATTCCCTCTCACTTTCCCTTTTGTCTTCCTTCCGCTTCCATTTGTTTCTTTCCTTGCTCCGCTTCTTACTTTGTTCTGCCCCATCCTGCTTCTTTGTTACCTTCTGTGTGTCTGCCTCTATGCCTTTCCTCTTTCGACCACTTCTACTTCGGTTTCCCTTCCTTCCAATAAACTGAACTCGAAATAGACTATTCACACAATGACGTAAAACAAGTTAACTTTCTAATTCCATTTGATGTTTCAAATGGACTTCAAAGCGAAATGTATAAGATTAACAGACATATTACATCCATGTGATCATCATCCTACCTAGTTCCAAGCAAACATCTGGTATCAATAACTTCCGGTTTATATGAGCATTACAATCTCCACCAAAGGGAAGATTTCCTAGCATGCCATCCTTACTGATTGTTTTCACGAAATTGTAGTAGAGATATGATCGTGATTCTGGGGCGTAACTCGGTAAATTGTGACTTATTTCATATAATTGTTAGCTTTCAGAGAAAAATATGGATCGAGAGAGAGAAGAATTGCACAAGTTGGAGAAACTTTGGACGCGGTTAAAAGCTGAGTTCGCTTTGCGAGAGAAAGTTCACCACATCGTGTTTGATATAATTTCAAACGCTTCAGAGGCATTAGATCGCCATGAGATGCTGGAAACTTGTAGAAAAAAATCCAATTACGTTCAGGAAGTCATAAACTTTGCACAGAAAAAATCAGCCAATAACCAGTCAGACGATTTAAGGTCCAAAGTGAGGAAGTACATACTACAAGTGATAGAGAATGTCTCCCTCGCCGTTGATGAAGCGGAACGATGGCGACATGTTCAAAAGATTGTAAACATTGCCATTAACAGGGCCAGAGAAGACGTGATCTCGTCACGCAAAACTGCCAAAGAGATAGTTGTGACTGCTATCGACAGGGCACGTGAGAAGGTTGCGCAGCAAATCTCTCATGATCTGGATGAATGTGCTGAGGCCATAGTGGCAGGTTCTATCATATCGGCTACGCGAAAGATGCAAGACGCTCCGGGAGTGATCATGGCGCGATCTCTGGCTATTGAGGCCGTGAATTCCGCAAAAGCGTCCATAGAACGCTTACACAAGGTGGAGCTTGAAGCCATCGTCGATGAAGACCAGTTTCAGTTTTCGACGACCTTGGATAAGTGCGCCAAAGAGCTCACAATGGCTGCTATCATATCGGCCAGCAGATCATTGGAAAATGTCTTAAGTAAGGACGATTGCGATTTGATAGCAGCACGCTCTTCAGCCTCTGACGCTGTCGCAGCGGCTAGATCTGCAGTTCAGAAGTTATATGGCATAGAAGTTGAAACAGATGATGAAGACGAGGATCATTATGTTACGATTTTTAAGTGTCTCGTGAAATCCGCAAAAGGTATCGCTCAGGCCATGGCTAGTACCTCTGACACATTCTCTGGACAATGCGATCTGGAAGATTTGACGGCCAAGAAACTTTCAACGGATGCTGTGCATGCAGGGAAGATATCATTAGAAAAACTTGGCATAAACGTTGAGGAAATGGACGATGACGAACAGGCTTGTAAAGATATCGCAAGTGCTGCTATTGTTTCCGCTGCGCGTTCTTTGCAGAAAGACTTCCTGTCACGCGAAAGTGATTTGGTAGCGGCAGCACAAACTTTAGCTCACACGGCATTGGAATCCGCAAAAGAATCTTTTGAATTGTTCTACCGTGCGGAAATCGTTTCTGATGCAAGGATAGAAGGAAAGACGCATAAACTCCCTTTAGAGTTGGATGAAGTCGCAAGAGACATTGCAGAGGCCACTGTTGATTCAGCCACACGATCTCTCGAGCGGATAATGGAAAAGAAAGAGTGGAATCTGACATCAACAAGTCACGAGCTGGTGAGTGATGTAATTGACTCTGTGAAGGCATCGTTGGAAAGGTTTCACGGAGTCGCGATTGAACCAGACGAAGAAGTTATATTGAGTTTACAAAAAGCCTCAGAGAGTTCTCTGGAATATTCCATTTTTGCGAAGAGTGCCTCGTTGGAAACTTTACAAGGAAACGAACAAGACTTGTGCATTGCAGCACGAAGTCTTGCACGGGAGGCTCTGAAATCGGCAAAAGCATCAATACAGCGACTCAACAACATCGCTGATCAAATGGAAGAAAACATAAAACAAACTGCGCTTGACATTTCCAAAACTCTCATGGATTCCTCAGGCAACCTTCTGCAAAAACTCGAGAGGGAAGGATTAACCGTGGCGTCTCGAGATCTTGGATGCAGTGCAATTGAGTCGGCTGCAAAATCTTTCTCTAAATTGCACGAAGACGAGGCTTCATTGCAAAACGTTGCCGACGATGACTCGGGCTTGCTGAACGCAGCAGCAAAAGTATCTACAGTTTCCATCCGTGCTTCTTTGGGTGAACTCTTTGATCGAGGATTCATTGATGGCCAGGAGTTAGAGGAAGCTACAGGCTACTTAGCAACTCATGCAGTGCTCTCGGCTGAAAATCTACTTGATTCAATACAAGGTGACTCTTCGGCAAGTTATCTAGACTTGGAGATTTGTAAAGTTGCCAAAGACCTGGCGTTAAATGCAGTTGTATCTGCAGAAAGATCAATTACCCGCCTGGCAGGAGAACACCAAGAACCTTCAGCAGAACGTAATCCTCATCTTGGAACCTTGTTTTGGAAGGTTACAACCTATGTAGAGCAGCTGATAAACGGTGCTTTGAGAAATCTTGGGGCAGAGTGGTGTTTTGTCCAAATAGATGACGATTCAGAAGAATACGATGAGCCTACCTTGGATCACTCGGCTGACAAGGAATACAATGATCAGAGAGATATCCTAATGTCGAAAGCGTCAAAAATTGTGCAGAATGCCATTGAAATCGCAAAGTCAAGGATTGCCTGTAAGTCATTATTTCTCAGCCAACCCATTCCAGATGACAGGCCTCAGTCTCGTCGTAGAAGTTCTGTTCAGTTCAACGAAACTTCAAGTTTGCATATTCACTGCGACAGCAGCGACATTCCCCGTGACACTGGCTACTTGAGCTCTACAAATAGGCCTCCAACTCCTTTCAGAGAGGATCGTCCCAGTTCTGTTGTCTCACAGGCAATTGAAGAACTCGAGAAAGAACTAGCCTTTTCTTCAGGTAGTTATATGGCCGAAACAAAATCATCCAGTAATAGTCTTGTTCGACGACGCCTTTCCGATCCAGGACCAGAGTTTTGCTCCGAAGATATAGCGCTCTCGAGGACAGAGCGTTCAGTGTCCGACTCAAACCTAAACGACCAAGGTACTTCCCTAGACATTAAAGGCTCTTTGTATGATATTTTAAAGAAACGAGAAGAGTCAGCGAGCTGCGAGATCTCTCCCTCCGAGTCATATGTTGTCCTTCCTCATTTAAACCCTTCTGAGTGTTCCTTGATTGCCGCCCGAGTAGAGGCTTACGAAGTTTTATGGAAACAAAAGACGACAACTTGTTCGGTAACAAGCCTGCCATCTTTATCTCCCAAAAACTCCTTTGTAGCCGCTGAACAAGTCTATTCGGGTAAAGAAACGAAAAGACGTCGTTCAGTTTCATTATCTTCTCGTCTGCCAGATATAAGTAAGTCTGCCTCCAAAATCTGCAAGCCCTCGTCGAGTGCAAGCTCTCTTAAAGGCCCGTCGTCTCATCATGAGGAAACGTCGATACAAAAGCTCAATCTTCCCTCCCAGACTTCTCTCAGGGCTTCGAAGGAGTCTTTAAAAGGGGAATCGATGTCTAACACTGGAAAAGCCTTACATTCGTCTCGTGCCTCAGCTGAAAAGTTGTCATTACCGGTGTCATCTCGAAGTTCCCTGTCTAAAAAGGAAGAATCTCGACGAAGTTCAGGAGAAAGTCTGACTTTATCTTCGCCTAAACCGTCGGTGAGAAACGCGTCTAATTCACAGCGCACAACAGATGCAAAGATTGTCCAATCTGCTCGCAGCTCACCTTCGAAAGCCACAATGTCCCCCCGTGCTTCTGTAGAGAAAGCTATACTTTCAAAGGGAAAATCATCTAAAACTCAAATCAAAACGTCTCCAAAAAGTTCTAAACTTCATGCCTCCACAGAGAAAACGACAACTCCATCTAGTGCCTCTTTGCAAAAAGGACTTACGTCTTCCCGGAGGTCGATCGAGATAGCAGCCTTGACCCAAGGAGAGTCAAAACAAACGAAAGCTTCCTCCACAAGTGCTTCAAGCCAGAAAGTTATATCTTCACCGACTGTTTCAAAAGAAAGTATAGTTTCGTCCTTTGCAACATCAAAGAGAAACACAACGTTGTCCACAAGTGCTTCTACCAGAAACGCCATATTGTCCCAACGTAGTTCCAAAGGAAACATCACACGATCACAACATTCTTCTGCAGAGAATGTATTATCATCCCGAGGTGTCTCCATAGAAGCAACAACAAAGTCGCCTCGTGGATCTCTTGAGAAAGTATCATTGTTGCCGCGTGGCTCTACCGAGAACATCGTTTCTAAACGAGGTTGCAAAGAGAAAGATAGAAAGCTATCAAGTAGGTCATTTGAAAATGCAACGATGCCTCTGAGTTCGTCGAAGGGAGATGTTACGCAGTCACCAGGTGTTTCCACTGAAAATACAAAGGTGCTGTCACGTATTTCCAAGGAGAAAATCAGGCAATCTTCTCAAAATTCTTCTGAGAGAATTACATCAAATGAACGCGGTTCTCAAGGATTAGCTACCCAGTCTTCGAATGCATCGGAACAAAATATTTCACTTTCTCCAAATATGTCCAAAGAAAACGCTCAGGTTTCCCCCCTTATTTCTTCAGAAGAGGCCACTCTATCCTCTGGATCGACCGGAAGAGTAGCTGGAAGTGCATCGTCTTCTCTGAAAGCCCCTGATGATACAGAGTTAGCATTGTCCAAGACCTCTATGACAATAGTTAAAACACTTGCAAGCCAATCTGCAAAGGGTCCGGAGTCAGAGCAGGCTACAATGAAAACGGAACCCGCCGATAGAAAATTGTCAAAAGATTTGGTACGGTCTCCTGAAAAATTGATGGAAAAAAGTGATCCTAATAGGGTTTTATCCCCTGTTGAGAACATCGCACTTAGATCAGACATTGTGCAGGTGATTGGTGAAGAATCGAGGAAAACTAAGAATATTGAGATCACCATGGGCTCCAAGAAAGGTGTTCGTAGCTTAGAGAGACTAATCCAGGACAAGAGATTGACTCCGGAAGGAGCTGAGGAAGACTCAAGGCCGGCCTCTAGCGTAGACATGACAACCATGAGAAGGTTCACAGATGCAACAGGAGAAAAAGGGACCGTTACTGTTTCCACGGACAAACGTAAGAGCCCAAAATCGATTTCGACGAAAGTCTCAACAAAATCTTCTATAGAAAAGGCAGTATTGAAGGACAATGAGAAAGAGGATGTGGTTATGGAAGGCGGAGGCAAAGACGAGAGGGAATTTCAGAGTGTTTTCATAACGACCGGAGAGAAATGCTTTTCGGAGGAAGGAGACACGAAAGGGCAACTTATTGAAATGACTCATGCCGCAACGGAGGAGAAGCAACTTGAACAATTCAGTACGAAAAAAACAGCAATGATCAATTTCGAAGGTTTCCCCTTGTCAAGGAAAAGGAGCGTGTCACGGTCTATCCACGACACTGTTGATGATATTGTTCAGAAAATGTTGGACACGACGGGCGAGCCAACTAAAGACCTCGCTCATTCTCGTCCCTCGTGTCATGGATCGTGCAAAGAGTTCAGGCGTGACAGCGAAGGAAGCCTTGGAATGCAAAGGCTCAGTAAAGGGAGGCTTCCCACTGGCAAGGTTTCCAGAACAGTGATAGACACTGTGGACTTCATGGTTCAAAGTGTTTCATCATCTGACAATTTAGGTTCACGGCAAGGTTCTACTGGACACTTAAGTGGAGGTAAGTTGAGTAAGGCTGTGCAATTTCATAACACAGTATCTTATTGAATACCGAATTACTAATTTTCCTTTTTGTCTATCTTTTTCCTCCACAGGCGTATCAAGAGCCGTCTCCTCTATGGAGAAATTATCCAGAGGTTCCACCTCGGCACAAAACATCCCATGTGGCTCTGGAATGAGTCCATCTCCACCAACTAGCCTCCAACCAAAAGTACCATCTCCGAGGAGATCTCTGTTAATTGCTACCTCATCCCAGGACTCAGTGGGAATCCGTGCCACCCAATCAGATTCTAGCATACTCAGTTTGTCAAGTGATACAGCCGCTGACCTCAGACATAAAGTGTCGGGTGCATGGCTTGATGGTGCTAGCGTCGCAAGTGGGGTGACGTCTGATAGGGTTAGTCCCCCAGTACGACCCTCCTCGGGTCCAGCTCCCTCACAACATAGGCGAGCCTCGCAAGGAAGTCTTTCGGTGAAAAATTCCTTGGATGGAGTTTGCCTTGAGAGGAATAACTCAGTCGATAAAGAGAGTTAAATTTCAAAATACGAATGTTTGAATTAATTTTTTGTTGGACTCTTTTTTTAAAATAATGTCTTGCCAAATCCTTGTAAAATAATTATCGAATCTGAACACTTATCATTTTTTTTTTACGTTGAGCAATATTGACATTCTCTTTCCTTGTTCCTTAATTCTAAACAGAGTCAATCGAACCAGATATCAGTTCAATAAATCCGTTTGTTTAATAGAGCCTTTGTTTTTTTTTCAATCAACACCCCGCCGCCAGATGATTTTTACCGAGGTACTTTTAAGTATTTTTAAATATTTAAAACATTTAAATATTTAAAAATACTCATCGATGCTTTTCAAAACAAACAAAGTACATTCTTACTGAGTCCATTCTGCCATCAGCCCGCGACAGCATCCTGCATCATTAACCTTTGATTCTTAAAGATGACTAGCATCTAATTCTCTTCACCCCTGAATCGAAAATTCAGGTCACCAGAATAAAAAAAAAAGATGAAACTCTTGATTGTTAAACAATTCAATTCTCCTGCTCAGCGCCTTAGTTAATGTATAAAGAACAATCTGGAGAATTTACATACTGATGTTAAGGTGTAAAGTAACAGCAGTGGTCGGGCACTTCGCTATCTGCACCACACTCTTCTTCCCTTTCCTGGCTGATGTGTTCTGCGACAGATCACGTTTGTTTCTGATGCCATCTAGTCTTATTTCTACTAGCACAAATTAATTGATAGATTCCTCAGAAGAGTACAGGAAGATAGAATTGGACAGCTCTGGGTGACGGTCTCTGCCCCTTTTCGCCTGTTTAATCGTGTAGCTGTGTACACTCGTTTCTTTCGTAGCTCAAGTCTTGTTCACCATCTTCGAGTTTCTTTAAAAAAAAACATAAAAAAGATAAATCACAGTTCGGCACGGACTATATTTTTCTTTTATTGAAGGTTTAGTTTATAGACCACTTAGATTCATTTATCTCCTATTTTTCTATCAGTTTAATTTTCTTACCGATTCTGCGGGGCAAAGGCCTTAGTCCCACTCTTGTCGTAATTTTTTCAGCCCTCTCAGCATTTCTGAACATTTACTTCCACCTTTTTGAGAGAGAATTTCCTTCCGGTCACGTCAAAAAATATTTATGCCAAAATATTACTACTATGATCGTCTTAGCGAGTGGCCTCTTGTATTACTCATTTCTCCACGAGTGACATCCAAGCTGAGCCGGAGATATTGCAGTGCTGATGGAAGACAGTATTCAAAACCCAGACAATATCTAAAATTATACAAAAACATCTCCGCCCATTGGCTAAGCCATGTATTGTTGGGGCTTTACTGATAACCATAAATTAAAAGGATTTATTTTGTCGGCGGCTTTTGCATATGATTTTCTACTAATTTGCATATCTTGAGTACCTTGCGTAGGTAGTCAATTCATATCTTGATGTCCGTTCGGTGCGTGTAGTTTGTAGACATCGTAATCCTCGGAGCTTGCGTTTCAGTATTTGGCGCCAATCTTAACATTTTTCCATCGAAGAATTTTCCGCATCTGTTTCTGCGCTAAATTAAGTGGTATCTATTTTGGTGCGCGATTTATATTGCGTGATTCTTCAGGGTGACAAGCGACAAGATTCGAGGCGATCGTGAAGGAAATCACGCCAATTTAATTCAGAAAAGCACACAGATTTATAAGGTGAGTCGTTTTCTCTTTCGTTTGTTTACATTTCTGCCTTCAAACTGCTGAAAAATTGCTCTTGGAGCAGTTGATAATGTGCATAGCACTTAGAGCTCGTGGACAGACTACCAAACGAACATTCGAAACAAACAGTGGAGAACGCTGCCCTATATTGAAATTTAACTTTCTGTTTTTGGTAAACAAGTCGGTTTTCTCTTCTCTGGATCAAAGACCTTAGAATGCAAATACCTTTTGAGAAACTCATAGTCAAACAATGAAATTCTTTGTTATGAAGTGGTATTTGTACGTTATATCAAGGAAAATATTTAACACATGCAATCGGTATGCCATTTAGTTTCATTCGAGCAAGAACCGCAAACTTAAGTTAATGATATGAGTATTCTGAAAAGCGGTAATTAATCTTCACACTTGAAGCTAAATCAGAGAGGTCTGGTTTAAGGTTATCCTATTTAAAAATGGCCCTCGATCCATGGTAATTCCTCGATGGGTCAAGTTTTTGCCGTTGGAGGTACATCGTTTAAAATCTATCTCTAACTGAGCTGTCATTTCGTTTAAAATATTCTCTCTCTATTTTTCCGTCTTTGTTCGTTATTGCTTTTGATTTACCTACTATGTATGTAAATATTCGTTGCTCTTGAGCGTCACATATCCCTGGTAGTGTGGAGAGCCAATATCGCGTACAATTTCCTTTTGAATTCTCGAAATAGCTCCATCAGAGTACTTTGCAATTTAGAATAAACCTGTCGGCTTGCAGTTAAGCCGATTGTTGTTGATATTTCTCGCAATCTTGTGAACAGTCGTCTTTAAACTTTATTGCTCAAGTTAGAAATTCGATCGAAAATTTACCAAGATCCTTATCCAAAGCAGCGATAATGAATTATAAGTTTTGATACTTCTTTCATGATTTTTTCAGTTCCTTGTGTTTAGGTAGCAATTTGGGCTAAATTAAATCATTTTTGGGCTTAGAAAAACATAAGCAAATCGAAATCATGCCGTGAAAATTATTGGCGTTACAGACCTCACCCTAATGAAACATTTGACCTTTTAGCATTTAATAGAAAGTAAGATTTAAAACTGTGATAACAGCAAATGAGTTCTTTTGTCGCCCACGAATAGCCTTAAGTTAATTTGAAAGATCTTTCAGCATTTCATTTGAGTTATCACTAATTTTCTGTAAACGGGTAGATGATAACAGTTCATCCTTTTCATTTAAAAAAGTTAAATCGAGAATTATGCCTGGCTGCAATTTTACAAAAGCGCTTGGAGCTAGATTCTCTTGAAAGGCCAACATGAAGAGTTTTCGAAACCGGCCGCACTTCTGAGTACAAGAAACCACGATTGCCTGCGTGAATTTCGAAGCAAGAACCTCCTATCTCAGTTGACTCATTTGTCAGTTGATCTTTAATACTTCATGGTGTGATTTTTTTTGTCAATATTCTTTTGTTTATCAGGTATGGTACTTTATCTAAGATTACTCTGACAATTGATGGATGGCCAATAAATCTTATTTCTTATGGTTCAAAAAGCTAAAGGAAACGACTTATCGGTTCTTTACTCTGAACGTAATATCGCCAGAAACTCCGTCAATGCCGTGAGGTTGTGAAGATTTAAGCTATTCGAACAAAAATGAAATCTTCGACATCTTTTTATAGTCTTCTCGGAAAAAATCTCTTTCGGCGGAATTTAAGATAAATTTATTTCGGAAGAAGAGGAATTCTTTGTTTTGATGCGAACTAAGTCTTCTTCCGGTTCGTGGTCGACGCGGGAAGCATTGCCATGGCAACGGCAGAATTTGACTGACAAGTTTTTGAAAACCGGTAAACCCCTGGGAGGGTCAGTAAGGCCCAATGTTTGTCACCGCGTCGCAATATAGTGTGAAGGACATGAAATCTTTTTGAGTTTGTGAGCAGTTTCACCGCTACTTTTTTGTTTCTGTTTGAGAAGTTGTCAAACCGAAAGAAGTATCTTCAAATCGTAAAATTCGCTTTGTCCATTTGTCTAACCTGGTCGAAGTGAACTTGCAGTTTGTGATCATGTCGATTAGAGGACGCGAATACAACGATGATTCTGCTGCGAAACTTCTTCGTTCCGTCCGACAGCAGGTGAGCTTGATTTTCGTAATTTTTGAATGAGTTAGGCGATATATAAATCATCATCAATCTTTGGTAGTGGTTGTCTGTGGATTTACGTGTGCAGTTGCTGTCTTTGTGTTGAATTTGAGGTCGCATTACTTATGAGTAACTTTCTCGATCGACCATTTTCGTTGAACATATTTAGCGAGTGAGCTTGTAAACACTCTCATGATTTACTTTTCCCTTGTGACAGGAAGCTCACTTTGAAATGCTTTCTCGAGAATTGGAACAAGAGCGCAGAAACGTGGCTCATCAATTGGAAAAGGTAAACTTTGATCTCCATAAAGTTTTGATCGAATACCAGCTTTCCTATCGAACACTTTCGTCTTTCGATAGAAGCTATTCGACGACAGTAAACTTTTAATGGGATTTAACGTCACTTGTTTTTCTATTGCAGTGTAAATATGGCTCCGAAACAGCAAGTGTGAGCTCGATGGGGAGGTAATATTGAACATTTGCTTTGTGCACGGAAACTTACCTGCGAGTAATTTGAATTTATATAAGAACCTTCTCAGCTTGAAATTATTGCTAAGCCATGGGTTTGCTGTTGTACGTTGGTGTAAGGCTATTGTGAGTTGTCTCGAATGCTTACTTTAGATTTTGAAATTCGAATCTACTTTGCCGGTAAACCCCAGCTTAAATCCCCTTGAGATCGGACGGAGGACATCACATTTCACTCGTTAAAACCCATGTCAAGCGAGGGCAGTTAATGGTGACAACTGGTTTAGTAGAGCTTTCACCATTCAATTTGTTTTTATATTTCAAATATTCCCTTAATTGGTAAAGATTGGTGATTTTTAGAGCATGATTCATAGAGGTTTGCTTTTATATTGAAAGATTTAACAGTTTTAAACCTACAATGTAGGAATTTTTCTAAAACTACAGTATCTTATGTACGTAATTCCAGGTATTCTGAAGTCTTTAAACAGAAACATTGATAACCAAATTGTTTGAAGTGTCGAAGTTGGATCATTCTTAAAATTTCCTTATCTGTGTTTTACGAATAATTTCTCTTGGATCTCGTCCTGCTGGCAACATTCACTTTCCATTAAACTGCGTGAGGAAGGGAGATCTAAGAGATCGTAACGGGTATAATGATTGCTGATTGATTTGATCTCTTAGAGAACTTAAGCTTTTGAGCCCATTAGGGTTTAAAGAAACGTGGAAAGGGTTTTTTTTTTATTAAAAAACAGTGGTACTGATATTTCTTAATGACTCCTGTGGCCGAAATCGATATTCTATGATAA